TTACAGGATAATATGAGCAAGCTACGTAGACCAGCCTTATACGAACTTTAGTAGAAGCCAGGACTCGCGCCCTTACTAATCGACTATGGAATATGGTTTTTCTTTACAAAAAAAAACCTTGCCCTCATACTAGTATTTTCTCCTGTATCGTTAAGGTAGTTTACAAAATTTAATGGCACAATGGCAAACATCCAGACCCGGAACAATTATTCGTAGGCCATACAAATACTTGTTTCGTGCAGGATTTGAACCCGCGACCCCAACCAATTCATTGCTAAGACACTACGCTACACCGCGTTACGGAGCCGTCCGATTATTTATTCGTACATTTTTATAGATTAGAACGGTGCGGATATATATGCGTTACGATTTGTAAAGCAAAGTCTGATACGAGGGGCGGCTGAAAAGTTTTGAGCCTAGGGTATTGAAAATGCTGATAGAAAAGTATACAAAATTTATTTTTCTATGTAATCTCCCTCAACTTCAACGCATTTCTTATATTTGTGATAAAGGGCTTTTAACACAGTGAAAAAATATGCGCAATCTTTGCCTTCGAAATGCTCGCCTACCGCTTCATTTCTTCGTCACTCGAAAATACTTCGTCCGCGGAGGTCTTTCTTCAAATTTTTTCAAATTTCAGTTTTTCAAATTTAAATTTGAAAATAATTAAAAATCGCTGGGGGCGGTTGAACTGAACGTTGGGTGATTTATTTCTTCAAATCCAGTTTTGTTCAGGGCACGCCTTGCAACTCGCGCAGTGAGCACGGGCGCATTGTCCTGCAAAAACAGGACACCTTTCGCCAGTTTGCCTCTTCTTTTTTTGACAACCACTTGACGCACTTTTGTCAACAATACAGCGTAATAGGAATACTCTTAGGTAGGTAGTCAATTAATAAAATTCCTTCACAGTCCCAAAAAACAGTGACCATGAGCCATAAATTTCCGTTCCGGCTTTTCTCCATTTTCATTCCACTGCAATGACTCTTGTTTTAACTCTGGATCGTACTGTCGTATCCATGTTTCATCAACAGTGACAATGCGAGAAAAAACGTCGTCAGGATTATCTCCACAGATGTCCAACAACTCATGCGAAATTGTAACTCGATGCTGCTTGTCCAGCGTAGTAAGCATTTATGGCAAGCACTACGCGCACTTCTTTTGCATGTGCAAATGAGTATGCAAAATATCGCCGATTCTTCCATGCTAATGCCTATGGCTTCAGCTATCTGCCACAACTTGACTCGCCGATCTTCTAGAACAAGTTTCTTTATTTTTCTACTTACTTCGAAACTGTCGACATCTCTCCAAATATTTCCGTCGGTATTCTGTTCTTCTTTATGAGGAATTTTATGACAGCTCTGTACTCCAATTTCGTAAAATGCGCCGATGACTGAGACATGATGATGTTTACGGAATAATTTCACTAAAAGCGTAATGATGCTAATGATGTGTAACTCTGTATGTACTAAGGAGAATATTCGCAAATTAATAATATACAGCGCGAGACAATAATGACACTTGAAGGTACTTAGGCTTAGGCTTGTTTCAGCCGCCCTTCGTATGAATCCAGTGTTCGAGCAAAATGGTTGCTCATTGACGCGTTGTTGTCGTTATTATTTACTTTCGGTGGAAGGAATTGAATAGGAAACGCCGAGTTTTTTTGCTGGGCTGGAGGTACCGCCACTACCATATGGAACGTTATAACAAGGCATAAATCCCTGAAACGACGACGTTCAGGTGCATGGTCATTTGCGGATGATTTGATATTAAATCTTTTTGATATTATAATTTGATATAAAAAGGCACCTTGAAATGAATGGAATGGAAAGGGTTTCTAGTTGAACCCTTATAGTTTCGCCATGTCTGTCTGTCCGTCTGTCCGTCCTCGCTTAATCTCTGTGACCGTTAGCACTAGAAAGCTGAAATTTGGTAGCAATATGTGTATCAATCACGCCGACAAAGTGGTAAAATAAAAATTGGAAAAAAATGTTTTATTAGGGTAGCCCCCCCCCCCCCCATATGTAAAGTGAGAAGTGATTTTTTTTTTAATTTCAACCCTAATGTGTGATATATTGTTGGAAAGGTATTTAAAAATGAATAGGGGTTTACTAAAATCATTTTTTGATAATGTCAATAATTTCGGAAATAATCGCTCCAAAAGTAAAAGACAATGTGTTCCCCCCCCCCTCTAACTTTTGAACCATAAGTTTAGAAAATATGAAAAAAATCTGAAAAGTAGAACTTTATAAGGACTTTCTAGGAAAATCATTTTGAACTTGGATGGAAGCAACAGTACCCACTACCGAGAGCAGTTGCAGGAGCGCGGAGCGCTGCTAGCGCGAACATAATGGATACCCACCTTTAAACTCATAAGTGGGAACACTTATTGTGACGGACGGGAAACTACGGAACCCTACATTGAGCGTGGCCCGACACGCTCTTGGCCGGTTTTTTTTTTTCATTAATACGCAGTTATATACAGAGGAAGTTAGATTAAATAATCTAACTTAATTAATTATATCATGTTCATAAATTAACATTTTTTAATTTTTCGCTCCTAAAAGAACGCATTAATATTACACTAGAGTAAATGCAAATTCTATCATTACCTGAACGCAACCATGTGATCGACGTAGACATAACATATATTCCAAATGACAAATAGGTAGTAAGCTTGTGTGAGTGCGATTCTGCTAGCACTTGAACACTTGAACAAAAACAACGGATCTGCAGTCGCGATTTTTCTGACGGATGCGGTTCGTTAGCGTCAGCAGCACACTGGCCACGACACTCGGCGCGGCGTCCCGGGACACAATACGATACGATGCACACGAGGCTCGCCCGACTTGTACGTCACGGCTTCCCTTTGAACAGTAGTGCGCACTGCCGCGTAAATATAGAAACCCGACGTGGAACAGGAACGTGAAGCGGTCAGAAACAAGCTCCGTACTACACTTCGGCTATTATTGCGTTTTATACCATATATACGTAAATATTGTATAATATAAACAAAAAATATTATCACAATCATACGAAAAGTACTGATCCAATCACCCAGAGGGCAAAGCAGAGATTCTTCCCTTCGACACGATCCTGACACACACCTCTCGGTCAGTTGAACGGTTAAGCGTACTCTATACTAAGGGTACTACTACAAATATAAACATTTGATAATGATTTCTTATATTTACGCGAACACTATACATTGATTAAAACTACTTTTTCTTTGACGTGATACATCAACGTTCCGGGAAGTCTGCAGTTTGCGATCATATCCTAGATGGCCCCAACCATTACATCGGATTTGATAGACCACAAATCCTCGCGAAAGAACATCGATTCCTACCAAGGATGATTCGTGAGGCTATTGAAATTAAAAAAACATCCTAATTTCAATAGAGAAGGAGGCTGTGTACTACCACCTGCTTGGGACCCTATAATTAATAAAATTAAAACTAAACCCAAGCATATGACTGCAAGACTTCAAAACACAGTTAGTTCATTCTGCGTAGATCGGACCAAAGACAATAATTAAAAAGCTGAAGGTACTCCGTATTAACTTTGACATCGGGACGTCAGTCACCTCAGTCCCCCGTGACCATGGGTGCTGGAAAGCACCCGAAACGTCGGGTATTAAAAATAAAATAAATAAAACGCGATGAAATCCGTAAAAGTAGTTTTAATCAACATTTGATAACTTATATTCTGGTTACCGTTACCGTTACCGTTACAGCCGATCAAAACTTCAAAAGTCTACTGCTGAACATAGGCCTCCCCCTCAGATTGCCTAATATTTTCCATAGTTGCCACATTTGGCAGGCGGGTTGGCAATCCGTTTTTTATTTTTAAGTTACAATTAGAAAGATGTTGCTGCCCATCTCCTGGCTCGTTTCCCTTTGTAGCCTATTACGAACCCATAGCACGATATGAAAATATTTGTGTTTTCCATTTATTTAAATCAGTCCATCATTAGTTATATAATATGTTTGTACTTCATATGAACAACATAATATAAAATTTTGGTAAGTATAGTTTTAAAATTTCCGATAAAATAAATCGGATATCAAATAAAATTAGAGGTAAAGTTTGTTACTTCTCTCATACGAAGTCTCTTATACAAAGGGAGCAGTATTAAAAAGAAAATACGTAAAATGTATTTCGAACAAATGAGACGTACTCTTTAATTTAGTTCATCTTCAATATAACGCAGGTAAAGTAGGAATTCTTCAGTCTAGGGTTTCCTTGCCGACTCTGTCACTCACTCCTGCATAATAAATTTCCTTTTCACTTTTTTTCATTCATTTTTTCTACGTACTCAAACCACCCAAGCATTCCTTTCATAATCCTGGCCACATCTTGCAAACCATACTTTTCTTTTACTGCAGAATTTCTCACCCAATCATTCAGAGGCACTACTAACATACTTCTTAAGGACCACATTTTTACACAGCATTCATTTCAGTTTCACATTCTTCTGCCGCACAAAGCCATTCTACTTCTTAACCAATTTTTCTATTTTTTGTTCACAAATCACTTTACTTTCTGGCTTTCAAAAAACTCTTTCAAAATCTTTCTTGCAATTTCTTTCACTCCACTTCCTTAAAAAAATTAAAATTATAATGTATACATAAAGAGCTATACCGCAATGTTCTAAAACAAATTGAAAAGAAACACAACTTGAGTCCTGATATTACATATAATAATAAAATTATACCGGAAGTATTAAAATTATGTTTGTTTAACCGTATGAATCGTTTTTTTAACTGTCTTCAATAAAATAATGGGCAAATATCAGTTTTCATGACTAAAAATTAAACAAGTTTATTTAAAAAAAAACACTTAAGAAAAACAAACAAAACAAATTCTTATGACAAATAGACGACTCTGCTTACACATACGCCACTCAAGTCATTATTTTTATCATTTAAAATGTTTACTAATTGAAATTATTAAACAACGGATTATATTGTAAAAGAAATATACTTAAAAAACATAACTACCTCTTGCTGATGCGATTTCCGATGTCATCTTCATTAGCTTCACTAGTTTTCTCATCATCATCCTGAAAATAAAAATACACATCTCGTAAATAAATATCATCTTAATTGATCTTTGTAAAGGCAATCTAAAAAAACCAAAGCAAAAAAATTACCTATATATATAAAAGTTAAAACAATAGAAACTAATTTTTATGGATTTTAACATGCTTCATTTACTTTTTTTATATTTATATTACTAATGTCTTAGTACTTTTGCAGCCTTGGTCTCGGATAGACTGAGGTATTCAACTTTCTTTAATTATAAAATTCAGTTCAATCTATGAAAAATTAACTTTTAGAACCTTGGAAGTCCATAATATCACTTGAAATTGAAATTCACAGTGAATGCTTAGCCCCACACAGTTAAATGTTGTGCTGTTTAAACGCAAATTGTCAACGTTAAACCAATTTAATAATTTAGATATAGCAATATTAACTACCGTATATTTTAATTACTGTCTCTCTCTGTACTCTTGGCTCTTTAGATCATTGCCTGATCTTGAGTACGGTGCCCGTCACATAATCATAGCAAATGCGATCTGTTGGATGTCGCCTTGTCGGCACTATAGGTCAGCGAATTGGTATGAGATGCGGGCTTCTTTTGCATCCTACCCATGTGGGCGGTATTGCTTCTCGCTGGATGATCCCAACATCGTTGCCGAGTCTGTCGCCGATCGTCACTTGTGCTCGTCGCTCCTGCTAAATTGCGTCGCGGCAAAAGCAGTTAGGCGGGAAAGTTACAAGGCCTGGGCCAACGCATTGGCGTCCCGGGATGCAAACACTAGGTAACTCAAAAAGAAGTACAACTCTGTTTCCAGGTCCTTCAAAAGAGTTATCGCTATGGCAAAGCCGGAGCCCATTAAGAGAACTGGCGAGAAACTAGTTTCTTCGGGAACTAGTGCATTCTGGTCCTTTGCCAAGGCTGCCCAAGAGAATTTCTGTAAGCCATTATTACCATCTCGGCGTAGGGTGAAAACCGATCTTTTAAGTTCTCTTTATGCGTCCAATTCTCGACAAAAGGGGGAATCTACCGTTCTCCACGGGCGCCTAAAAGTTAAATGTGTGCTCCAGAGTTATTACCGGGACTTACGTGTCTTCTCCGGTTCTCTTACTCTTAGGCGTCATTCCAAGCCCATGGAAGACAACCTTATTGCGCCCCTATTCCTGAAACATGTGACCACTCGGACCCAACCAACAACAGGCCTATCTCCATCACCTCCTTGTTCTCCAAAATAATGGAATAAATTATTCACTGCCAGACCCACCTTGTAGAGCATCAGCTGATTAGTGACCGCCAATACGGTTTCCGTCAGTCACTTAGCTGGTGATCTTCTTGTTTACCTGACTCACCGATGGGTGCAGACTGTCGAGACCAAATGGAAGGCCTAGGCGATTAATTCGGACAGTAAGGCCTTCGATCGGATTTGCCACAAAGAATTTTTCGAAGCTTTTCTCATGGGCCTTCTGAGATACTATGCAATTGGATCACCAGTTTTCTTGCAGATCAGAGTATTAAGGTCGTAGTCGACAGTGCATGCTACAACTTCAAGCCTGTCAACGTCGCCTAACCTGTACCATCTCCATTTCGATAATATATTGCATATTACTAACATTTATTTTTATGCAGACGAGAGGAATAGCGGTATCTAATACACCATCTGTGCTAATATTTCTCGGAAACACGTCGGTACACGTCGTCGAGTACCGGAATAAGCTTATGTCTGAAACAGAGTCTTCCTTAATCTAGTCCAGTTTAATCCCCAAAAGACACAGATTTGCGCGTTTACCGCAAAAACAGAACCATTTTGTCGTATCTTTTCAATTTCAAGACACTCTCCTCGTCGCCTCAACCAGCATTCTTGGAGTCGGTATTTTCAAGAGACATACTGTTTCGCAGTTACTTGGAAAGTAAGGCTAATCTGGCAACAAAAAAGCCTTGTGTGCTCAGTAGATCTAGACGATATTTCATGCCGGTTGCTAGTTTGGCTTCATATAGAATACTGTTCTCATCTCATGTAGGCCATGGCACTCCAGCATCAGCTCCTGCCGCTTGACCGTATTCAACGGATAGCAGCCCGAATCATCGACGACCAAGTTCATTCCTAACATATTGATCCACTGGCTTTGCGAAGAGACGTTGCGCATCTTCTACCGTATATACCATGGGGAGTGCTCAGAGGAATTGTTTGGATTAATTCCAACTGCTGAATCCCACCAATTCCACACCGCAATAATGTGCGGTTTATGCGGAGTTTTCTGCCTCGCACGACAATACAGGTGAATTTACTGTCGCCAGTGGTTTTTCCGGATCGATACGACTTAGGCACCTTCAAGACTTTTACTTTTTTCTAAAAGGTCGGTGAGGCACCTCAATTCTTCTAGTGTAGCGGATGTTTTACCTTCGATAAATCAGGTGAGCCGCACTTACATATTTTATTTTTTGTTTAAAAAAATTCCCTGCGCCTCTTTGCAACGCTGCACCCCTAGGAAGGCATGTCGATATGGCAAGTGGATGCTGCGGCCCATAGACATTCACATCTATCCTCAATTAAGAATTAAAATGCAGATGTGCTGCTACCCCTGAGAACTAAGATTGAATGCCTCATTTCCAGTAAAAAAGGGTCTCCGGATCTCGGCACCATATAAAGTACAGCAGTACTAAAGCTGCCATTTTACGCTGGTCATCATCATCATCATCATTACAGCCCTTCACAAGTCCACTGCTGAACATAGGCCTCACCCAAGGTTTTCCACAAAGCACGGTCCCGAGCCACCTGCATCCATCGACTTCCTGCATGTCTTACCAGGTCGTCACTCCATCTAGTGGGGGGTCGCCCTACACTTCGCCTACCGGTACGAGGCTGCCACTCGAGAACCTTTTTCCCCAACAGTTTCAGGTTCTTCGAGCTATATGGCCGGCCCATTGCCACTTCAGCTTACTAATCCGTTGGGCTATTTCGTCACTCCAGTTCTACTGCGGATATCCTCATTTCTAAGTTTATCACGCAGAGAAACCCCGAGCATAGCTCTCTCTCCATAGCTCGCTGAGCGACTTTGAGCGTCCTCATACGGCCAGCAGTGAAGGACCACGTCTCAGTTCCATAGGTCATCACTAGCAACACGCACTGGTTGTACATTTTAGTTTTCAGGTTTTGAGGTATACTTGATGAGAAGATGTGTCGTAATTTCCCGAACGCTGCCCAGCCGAGCTGAATCCGTCGATTGACCTCTCGATCGAAGTTGGACTTACCTAGTCAGACTCTTTGTCCCAGGTAAACGTACTCGTAAACAACTTCAAGCTTAGTGCTCCTAACAACTACGGGCATAGGTGTGACGTGGAAATCAAACATGATCTTTGTTTTGTCCATGTTCATCTTAAGACGTATCCGTTGGGCGGCACTTTTGAGGTCATTGAGCATAGTGCTTAGGTCCTACAGCGATTCTGCCATAAGGAATATATCGTCGTCAAATCGAAGGTGAGTGATGTACTCGCCATTGATGTTAATATCGTATCCTTTCCAGTCCAGTAGCTTGAAAACGTCTTCCAATGCAGCAGTGAAGTTTCGGGGATATAACGTCACCCTGTCTTACACCTCTCTGCAGTTGGATAGGTTTGGTACTCTGGTTCTGTACTCGGATAGCCATTGTAGCTCTACTGTACAAACACCTCAGCACTTTGAAATAACGACAGTCAACTTGACACCGCTGAAGAGACTGTAGCACCGCCCCAATTTCAACGGAATCAAAGGCTTTCTCATAGTCCACATACACCAGGCAAAGTGGCAGGTTGTACTCTTCGGACTTTTGTACAATTTGCCAAAGGGTATGTATGTGGTCTATGGTGCTCTAAAGCCTTTTCGGAAACCGGCTTGTTCGGGAGGCTGGAAGTCGTCGAGTCTACGTGCGAAACGATTCGTAATGACTCTCGAAAACAGCACGTAGACGCGGCTCAGAATGGATATCGGTCTGTAGTTCTTCAAGAGAGCGTTGACGCCGATGTGCCGAGGTTGGTGCGTAAGCCTGTTACGACTGTACTGTGTGAAACCTGTAACGAATACCGTTTGATGGTTCTGAGTATCAGGTACGCGACGCTCGTCGACACACTCTCAATCTTTACAACGTTGTTGACGAGAGACTTGTGAACGATAAATCTGACACCTCCTTGGGACAGATGGTCGCCCTCCCGGTGATAGAACAAGTTGCCGGACTCAAGGATTACTGTGTCCTCCCCCTCTTGTCGAACCTAGAATAATCCTATAATATGCCAGCGCAACTTGTTTACCTTTTCTTCCAGCTCCAGTATCTTATCGTCAGTCCTGAGGGTGCGTGCATTATATGTTTCCAGGTCGAGTCGTCGTAGGTGGCAACCGAACCTCCACCGGAGATTCTTAGTTCCCCCTGCCCCGCCGTTACCATGGTCACCACCGTAGCCAGGAATAGCGGGGCCGCCGGGGACTGGGTGCCGTTTGTTTGTGTCGTTGCTCATCTGGGTATGTATGCCATAGTTGCCACGCTTGGCGAGCAGGTTGGCAACCGCAGTTTTTTATTATATTATTGTTGTTATCAGGAAGATGCTGCTACCCATCACCTGCCTGTCTCCCTCTGTCGCCTCTTACGACACACATGGGCAGATATGGGGTAGTGGATATTCTCAACCATCACTACACGGCAGCATTTACACTGGTATTCTGTGATAATGTGGTACCATCCAAGTTGAGCCGACCCATTCATGCTATAACCATAATATCGCTGCAGCATGGCTCTACCACATATGTACTTGGTTGATAATTTGTATGTAACAAATAAAGATATATGAACATATCTAAAGATGTCATTACTTACTACGTGAGTATTGTGGCTCATAGACATCTTAATTTAACTTTGCTTAATAATAAACATGCAGAGGTGGGACCCCTGAGGACTAAGATGGAACGCCTCATTTCCAGTAAAAAGGTTCTCCGGTTCTCAAAACTTATCATATGAAACACAGCAAAGCTGGTATTTGTTACTGGTATTCTGTAACAGTGTGGTCCATGCATTGGTTGAGCTGACCCATTCATGCTACAGCTAATATAGCTGCAACATTGCTCTACCACAGTGATGCACAGACTTATTAAGACTAGGGGCCACTCGGGCAAACTATGAACTGATGGCGGGCCGCCAGGAGTATAGGTAATTAAAGACAATAAAGAATTGATAATAATGAATTAAAATTGAAAAAGAATTTATTAATTTGAAGCGTGACACTGCATAGTGCTTACAATCTTTTTATATTTGGCTCAAATTTACTTGTAGCAACACGTAAAACTGCTTCCAAACTTTCATTTACAAGGCGGTTTCGATTTTTTGTTTTATTATTATTTAGTATTGAAAAGGTTTGTTCACATATATAGGTAGAACCAAATAAGCTGGCACATTTCAGAGCGTTTATGCGCAACTCTTTGTACGTATTTTTATCAATGCACGGTAAAAGTTCAGCAAGTCTCCTTCGTTGAATTTGTTGCGTAAATGTTGGTCGTTTTGAATGTCGATAATTTCTAACTGCATTGATTCTGGCGCATTTTCAACTGAAATCGTGAAAGAATTGCTGAATATGTCCAACAGAGGTTTCACTTTTTTTAAACTCCGAAAATCTGTCTTGAAAAGAAGTTTTTGATTATCAAAATATCTAACTTTTCTACATAACTGAAATTAACCGCAGTTTTGTTGAATTTTTCAGCAACTTTCTTATAATTCGGAAAATGATTGTAATTTCCAGAATTCAATTTCAACAGATTTTAGGCAATCTGAAAATTGTCAGCTTGCATAGAAAGGATAATACATGAGCGTAGAGCTGGGATATCAGTTGATTTTTGCCTTGAAGCCGTGTGTTATGTCTTTCAAGACATTCAAATGATTTGTAATATCAACTAAAAAAGCCAAATCACACAACCAATCAGGATTTTTAAGTACCGGGACATCCCTTTGCTTTTTCGCCAGAAATATTCCAATTTCTTCTATTAAATTTAGAAATCGTTCCAGTGTCAATCCACAACTTAGCCACCTTACTTCTGTATAATACAGTAAATCTCCATATTCGCTTTCGATGTCATCAAGGAATTATTTGAATTGCCTGTGATTGATTCCTCGTGATTTTATGAAATTTACACTTGAAACTACCACATTCATGACATTTTGAAATTAAATTTTTTTAGAACAGAGGGCTTCTTGGTGTATAATGCAGTGAAACTGCGTGAGATCTTCAGCGTTTATGTTTTTTTCTTGCAGATGCTTTTTCAGCAAAGTAACTAGCCCAGAATTGACACCAATCATCGAAGGAGCACCGTCAGTCGCAACTCCCGATAATTTTGATAAGTCCAAATCAGTTTTTGAACACTCATCCAAAAGTACATTGAGTATATCAACTACTCTGTTTGACCTTTCAATGAACACATTCCTTAACTCTTCTAAGACTTCAAAATCTTGAATAACACCTCGTATGAATATCAGAAGTTGAGCTGTGGAACTAATATCAGTGGATTTGTCGAATGCTAATGAAAAAATTCAATGATCTTGGTTTTTTCATTTAATTGTTCTGCAATATTACCTGACAAAGACATAATTCGTCTTTGGATAGTCATACGATTTAGTTGAGTTTTCTCAAACTTTTTTGCTGCTTCTGGACACATTTTCTTAGCAGCAATTTCTATGCATTCTTTTAAAAAATCCCCATCATTGAAGGGGCGACTTCGCTTTGCTATCATTCGAGAAATTTCATAACTAACTTCTGTAGCTGTCTGAATCTTGAATGGGTTTTGTAAACATAGCTTGCTGACCAATAAGCTCCCGTTTTAAAGACAACATTTTTTGCTTTCTTAATTCGCCTGTAAACTTGGTAAAAGTAGGATGCTGCGTTTCATAGTGCCTTTTTACATTATATTCCTTTGCAATAGAATTTTGATTAAACAAACGACTTTGTTATGCGACCATACAAAAAAGTATTTCTCAGTCCAAATTTCTTGAAACTGCCGATTTTCATCTTTAACCTTACGTTTTTTACTAGGTCCTGGCTTGTCCATGTTGCGTTCTAATCCTGGCTAGGATTAAGACTGCACCTAAAAACAATTACATTACCTACTTAAATTACCCATCCTTTTTTAAGTTACCAAAAATAATTGATTAAATAGGTAGGGAAACACTTATTAATAACAGAGTTTTACTTACGATTTCACAACACAATTATACACGGCACTTGACGGGAAATCTATGTTGAATGTGGATCAAAATATATGACACCGGCTAGTCGAGTTAAAATCTACACTGGAACTATTGACACTTCACTCAAATTAAAAACGAACTGTCGATCGCTGCAGTTAGCGTGGCTTTTATACCGCGCGTATAGAGTCGAAAACTATCTGGAGAAATCACAAAACTTACTCTGGAAGCTTCGTGTATCTACCTACGCGAGCAATCGGGAATTCGGGACTATTGCTATCTCGCTTGCTCTAACAATATAACCCGTGCATAAGCCGCCACCGCGCTGCCGTCGTCGCCGCGCCGCAGGCCGCGGCGGTTCCTCAAGAAAACGAATTTAACCGAGATCAGCACGAACATTACCGACACGCATGCACGGCGCACCGATAAGCGCACTTAAGAGCGCGCGCGCGAGATTCAAATTACTTTTCGAATATATATTTTTTTGGTTTTATTCTGGAATATAATTCAATATTTTTCGAATGTACGAGAGTATTATTTTTGCTGTCGGCGGGCCACCAGTATTCGACCGGCGGGCCGCGGTCTGTGCATCTATACTCTACCACATATAATATAGGTTACTTACTAAAAAAAGTTGTCGCATGTCACTGTCATTTCTAATCTAACCGATGAATCCCCATGTCTAATCTCCTAATCTGTAGTATGCTGAATTTACTTTATTTATCAAAAATATATTATGAGTAAGTATATTATTTGTTTAAGTTTATAGTAACGAAATAAACGGTATTATGTTCATACAGCATTCATTTAAATTTGATTTATCGAGAAATATACATTTCAGTTTGCATATTTGTTAAAGTATTGTTGTTCTTATATATATTATAAGGCATGTTTGAAAATGTCGCGACTAATCGAAAATCGATCTTTTAATGATGGATTTAATCAAGATTCAATTCCAGTATGTTCAATTTGAATCAAATTGGAGATCAATTTTATTTTAAATGAATCAATATGCCTACTCAAAGGCATGTGCCCAATTTGCCTTTAGGACAATCTGCCACTCTATGAACTAAATGAACAAAACACTTTTAAAACCAAAATGATAAGATAGTGATAATTAAGGATTTGTACATATTTTTGATTGGTATTTGTAGCTGTAAAATCATGATATTTACAGCCCTTTAAAAGTCCACTCCTGAACATAGACATTAACATGAGCCATGTGCATCCATCAACTTACTGCTTGTAGTACCAGGTTGTCACTCCATCTAGTCCGGGGCCACCATATACTTCGCCTCCCGGTATGCAGCTTCCACTTGAGAAACTATCCTACTCATTAGTTATCGGTTCTTGCAGCTATATGCCCGATCCTATTGCCACTCTAGTTTACCAAACTGTTGGACTATGTTTGTAACTCTGGTTCTAGTGTAAATATCCTTATTTTAATCACAGATTCTTTAAGCATATAATATATGTATGAGTCCTTGCCACATTTTAGCCACAGCGAATATTGGACCTGTCTTTTTATAATGGTCAAGAAGAGCTACTTTCATGTGGCTTCATATGGCTTCAGTAGCCTATCATAGCTTTTAATATTTGGTACTCCAGCAGCAAATGCCACCATTCCATGCCATTTTGAACCATCAACATCATCAACAAAAGAGTTTGAACTTGCATCTTCACATGTGCCTCTCTGAACATCCTAGTGGTATCTTAAGAATTTGGTATCATTCTGCCCCTTCCCATACTAGAGTTATAAGAGTTAGGAATAAAAGATGCGCATAATTACCCGCATATGCAAGTGAGATATGGATCTGAGATCTGGTCCTTCACTAGTAGCATACACTAGTAAAATGTGTACTAATCTTTTTAACTGTGTGCTCTGTGGAAGAGTAGCTTAGCATTAAGCTATGAATTAATACTTGAATGGGGATGCTTGATTTTCTTTTCTTTTCATCATTAATATTATAATGAATCTTCTTTTGTATGATTAAATGACACAGTTTAAAAATGAAATTTCTGCATTGAACTATTTGTTTCATAAATCAGACAAAATTCCGTGGCACCATAATGTGTCATTGACTTATTTGTCAACAAAAAAAGAAGAAAATATAAGTGGAAATAATGTAACATAATTACTTTAAACATTTATAGGTTGTTTTTGGATAGTGAATATTCTCACATAGAAATGCCATAAATGGTTTCAGGTCTAAAAATCTAATGATTCATTTACATAAAAATTATTTATGAAACTGTGCATGACTGTAACATAATAACATGAAAGTTTATTATTTCCAACATATTCTTATATTACTGCAATATAATATTTTAGGACTACACTTACAAAACTAAATATACTCCTCAAAAAATTGATCATTCAAATCAATAGTATGTAATATGTATAAATACAGGTGATCTATAATTATTCTATTACACTATCTACTATTATATTATACTACATAATAATTTTAATATAAAATCAAATAAGTAGTCTTAAAAATAACATGGTAAACAACATTAGAGTACAAATACCACTACACACAAATATTAATAATAAAAAATTAAAATAATTTCATAGCAAGTAATTTACTTTAGCAAGTATAAGATAAAAACTATTTAGTGCATTGTCTTGGAATATCTTCTGATGGAAAGAATACTACATTTTCAATAAGAACAAAGACTGGAAAGGCTCGAGTTTCATCTGTCAACCTTACTGGTCCTTAGCTGTGCAAAATTATTGACCTAACTTTTACATCCGTTTTTGTTACTCACCGTTTTCCTTGGTGTTTGCACACTTGGAGTACGTCGAATTGTTACAAGTGCCATACCACATCAGTTCAAACGAATCATTATCAGAACAATACACAATCACAAACATAAAGTTAAATAATATTGACATAACATAATATTCGTTTTTATAAATCACAAAATATACGAAAATGTCAACGACCACGCATAATTTTATATTTTTTACGTATAAGACCCTTTGATAACTAAAACAATATGATCCAAAACTTTTGAAACTTTTAACTTGTGAATATAGTTTCCACTTTACCAACGAGGAACCGTCAAATTATTACTACAATTGCATTGCACTGCAAGACACCCACAGCCAAAGAGTTGTTGTTGTTTTTTTTATTAAAAGGCAAAGATCTATACTCATACAGCCCCTACTGACGTATATTTCATTCATAATCATTCAGTCCTTCACAAGTCCACTGTGAAGCACTTGCTGAAGATAGTCCCCCAAGGATTTCCGCAAAGCACGGTCCTAAGCCACCAGCACCCATCGACTTCCTGCATGTCTTACCAGGTCGTCATTCCATCTAGTAAGGGGTCGCCCGATATTTCGCGTAATGGCACAGAATAAATAATAGTACTACGTTCAGAAGTTACACTCCTTTAATGTTACTTACCGACATTTTAATTGCTCACATTATTATTATTATAATAATCACGCAGGTAAGCTAAATTAAACCTTATCGATACGGGCGGGTATCCGTATAGCTTTGTATCTTTTCCGCTTCGGGTAATACTTTATGGTTACCAAGGGCTTTCAACAAAGAGTAAAAAATACAATATGATGTACTTGTCTTATACTTTTTACTGTTTCTAAATTAACAGTTATTTAATATAATAAGAGTCGAAACGACTCTAAATCTAACGCATAATTTTAAGTACACACTAGGATCGAAAACATTGACATGGAGTGGTAAATTAAATATTCGTTAATAATTTTACATATATATTACACCAAAACATAGACAACTATTTTATCCTACAACTAACTGTACTAAGCAATAAATAAACATATTAATACGAGTACATACAAAAGATATATTTACATAAAAACTGATATTCATCAATACGTCGCTTGCCTAAACCACACTAGCCCTTACTGCGTATGCAACCTAAGGTTCCGCACGATTGTAGGCATTTAATTCACGCAGGTAGCAAGAGTGAAAGAGGCCAGCTACTCGAGTGGGAAGCTGGCACTCGTGAACCTTTCTTCCAAATCAGTGGTCGGTTCTTTTAGCTATATTGCTGGCCTATTACCACCTTCGCTTACTAAACCATTGAGCTATGTCGTGCCCTTTGGTTCTACTGGGATATGCTCATTTCTAAGTTTACTACGCAGAGAAACCCCGAGCGTAGCCTTCTCCATAGTTCGCTAAGCGACCTTGAGCGTCCTCATACGGCTCAGTGAAGAACCACGTCTCAGTTCCACAAATCATCACTGGCAACACTGGCGGCACTGGTTGTACAATCTCGTTTTCAAGTTTTGGGATATACCGGACGAGAATACGTGTCATAATTTTCTGTACACTGCCTTGAATCGGTCGATTGACTTCTCGGACGAAGTTAGACTTGCCTATTCAGACTATTTGCCCCAGGTAAACATGCGTCAACATCTTCGAGCTTAGTGCTCCCAACAACTACTGCCGTAGGTGTGTGTAACAAAGTAAATAAGTGTTTAAATATAAAGTGTTGATTTAAGCTTAAACTTAAATTAACTAACTTTGTAAATATATTATGTATTTACTTTCAAATTACTTCGTACTTATCGTTGCTTTTGTTGTTTTTAAATGTGATGAAAAATTAATATATATGCTTTTGTTTATTTTAATTTTATTAGATTATATTTAATATATAATTGTGTTTTCATTTGTTTTACTTTAATATTTCTATGTATTGCTTAGGCACGCAAAATTTAGTATTTTTCCCTTTTTAAATTTCAATTTATTTTCATTTAAATAAAATATCTTTATCTTTACAGCCTGTCAAAAGTCTACTGTTGAACATAGGCCTTCCTCATAGATTAGCTAACACGAGGGGTATTTGCCAAACAAATTTTCATCAGATTACGATGTTTCGAGGTCCTAGGAAGCTATTTTGGCTATATTTGCGATGATTTGTCCGTATGTCTGTGTGTGTGTATCTATTAATATACTTATACATATGGCAGATTGGCATTCACATTTTATTTTTTGGTCACCGGTTTAGAAATTAGATATAGCTATATTAACAGATACGAGACCGAACCGACCGAGAAGAATATCTCCTGCCCCATATCTTCCCTGCGGCTGTCAACCCGCTTGCCAAGCGTGGCAACTATGGTAATATACTCCCCATGAGCAACGACACAAATAAACGGCCCCCAGTCCCCGGCCGCTCCGTTATTCCTGGCTACGTTAGTGACTATGGTAACGACGAGGCAGGGGGTACTATGAATCTCCGGTGGAGATTCGGTTGCCACCTAAAATGACTCGACCTGACTACATAAAACGCACGCACCCTGCGAACTGACGAGAAGATCTTTGAGCTGGAAGAAGACAGGCTGCGCTGGTCTATTATAGGATTATGCGAGGTTCGAAGAGAGAGCAGGACACGGCGATTATCAAATCTGGCAACTTGTTCTATCATCGGGAGGGCGAAAATCTCTAAGAAGGAGGTGTCAGATTTATCGTCCACAAGTCTCTCGTTAACAAACATATTAAAAATAAAGATTAAAAATAACGTAAACATTGGAAGCATGTCGACGACTGTTGCTTACCTTATACTCTCACCAAACGGTATTCGCTGAAGGTCATACAGGTTTACGCACCAACCTCGGCACATCCCCATGAGGAGGTGGAGGAAATGTCGAGGATATTTCTAGAGCCATGCGTTTCTACAAAACCTACCATACGTTGTTAATGGGAGACTTCAACGCAAAACTAGGCACAAGAAAGAACAGTGAGCTGAAGGTAGGGAAATTTGGGATAAGGCAATGAAACTCAAGGAGCAAGCAGCTGGCCCACATCATGGAGAAAAATGGACTCTTTATGATGAACTCTTTATTCCATAAGCGGCCCCACAGAAAGTGGACCTGGTCGAGCACCGACGGTTTGACAAAAAATGAGATTGTATTCATTATGACTCAATGATCGTGAAGGTGAAAACTGTCAGCAATTACCGAATGTTTAGAGGCACATTAAACCTAAACGTTAAGTTGGAGAGGTCTCGTCTAATGAAGTCAACGATCCGTCCCCCTCGTGCTCTAATCCAAAGTTCCGAAACCTTTCAGCTCGATGTACAAAACCATTTTCGGTGCCTAGAAGACTACAATGCAGTAGACGATATAAATGATAAGCTCGTGGAAATTGACCATGCGGTTGGAGGTAAGTTTTGTAAGACCTGCCGCTGAAGAACTCGAAAACTCTCCGATCTCGAAGCTTTAATACTGCATGGCACCAGGACTCGGCACACTGGTTGGGGTACTTGTGAGGAAGTGGGTTGATTGCGCTGGTGCCAATATCTATCGAGTGGGACACCCAGCAAGGATGCACAAGCGAGACTGACCACACTTTTAGGAGACTGTCGCAGCGTTCTCTCCCCGTATTAAAAGGTCAAGGCGAAGAAGTTGTTACTCAAGTATGCCGATGTTGACTATATATGTTGATGACTTTACTATCGAACACTGCAGCGGGAAATGGCATGACAACACAGATGCTGATGATTGCAAGAATAGTACTCAGCAACGAGTGGAAGGGCAGCTTACAACGTGCACAGCAGAAAGATCCGGACTTCAAGCCAATTCTGGAATGGATGAAGGCCAGTGCTCCCAAGCCCAAGTGGAGCGACGTCTCAGCGATGAGTTCAACCACGAAAAGCTATTGGACCAATGGGACACCTTGCTGCTTCAAGATGGAGTTCTGTGCCGTAAATGAGAAAATGGTTGTCTCTAAAGCTAAAGTACCGGATGTTCTACAGCTGTACCATAATGGTTGTTCAGGAGTCGATCTGAAGATCCGAGAACGGTTTTACCGGGTCAATTGTCACGACGATGTCAAGGATTTTTGTCGCAAATGCACAAGTTGTGCGGCTGTGAATGGACCTCAGACTAGTAGTAGAGGTGCATTGAGATTGTACAGTGTTGGTGCATCATAGGAGAAGATAGCCCTTGGCCGTTTCAGAAAGGTACTTCTAAGATCGTCCATGTGGATCAACTGGCCCGTTATTATAGGGCCTATAATGCTCGAGACGAGGATGTCTTAAGAGGGGGCAGTGTAGTCTAGTATAGAGTAGCAGAGCCAGAAGGGCTTTCTAGAAAATTCGATGCTAGAACTTTGGACATTCTACTCAAACATTCTAGACGTTTCAGTGGAAAAGGCCTATATAAAGCCGCTCAAGACTGCGACCGAGGCAGTATTGAATTGGTAATACGAGCGAAGACTTCGGAGCAAAATAAAGTGAACTAAAGTGTAAAGTGATTAATTATTAGTGTGTTTTAAGTTTAAATTGGTGTTCGGTAATTAAAGTGTCAATTATGGTAATTCAATCGGTAGTTTTTATTGTCACGAACCCTAAGCTCATAACAATATATATATATATTATATATATATTTTTTTTTTTTTCGAATACTATAATACACAATAGAATGGCTGTCAACCTTAATTTATACCGAGGTTCGGCGTCGCTGGGAGCACACATACAAGCAATTACGTCGTATTATCTGTTAATCACTACTACATACCCGATTCGCTGTGTTGACAGACGGATTTTAATACATATTTATTTGTAAATAATGTGCAATTTGGCATTTCCTCAATAATTTGCATGCGAAATTTGGAAACGATTGTAACGTCAAAACACATCTCGTGTTGACTTTTATACGTGTGAATTGACGTCTTGTGGCATTTTAGTGGCTACAAGGGCTTCGCACACACCCCAGTTCTATTATCCCCTCGGCTGTCCAAACGCCATATTCTGGCGTCTCAAATAATATGCGCATCTGTCAAGCTTCATAATATGGCGTCGAGTGATAGCAAACTATTTGTAACATA